CAACACCTAGCCACATATACCACACCCCAACTCCTCAGTACTACCCTACAACACCTAGCCACATATACCACATCCCAACTCCTCAGTACTACCCTGCAAAACATAGCCACATATACCACATCCATAGCTCTTACTGAACTAGAAAGCTGCAACCGGTATACATTGTATTAAAATGGTTTACAGGATATCTTAATAAACACAGCCTTCACATTTCTAAGAATCCCGACATTTTGTCACAATATCAGATAATAAAGCACGTTTAATTAATGATACATTTAGGAGGATTTAAGACAACACGAGGCAAGAGAACGTGCCAGCACGGATGCACATGAATGCAAACGTGTATTTCTGGCTGCTCAGACATCCAACATTATTATTGAAAGAAGTCAAAATTTCACCATAGAACCCAACCAAATGCCACCAAATAGTTGCAAATAGCCTAACTTATAGAATACCACAAGGCATCATTTTATATTTCCTGGAAAAATGCTATTTGGATAGGTATTTTCTGCTTTCTTTCTGTATATAACTTGAATAACAGGCAGTTTAAGAAGGCAGTTTGATGGCTTGCTCACAATTTGACTTACCAGACTTGGGAACTGAATTATTTCTGTGAGCAAAAAACTCATATAACATGTTAAATATAGTGCCATCCACACTGTAACTTCAATCAAATATTACTGCTCTGTTAACTACAGAATACACACTTATATATCTTATAACATATATTCATAAAGTGTGATGACAGATTTACCTTCTTAGTATCATCCAAGTTCAGGAGCTTGTTTGTTTTAAATCTGTGGCCTACTAAACTTATGTTTCAGATTTGCATTGTGAACAGGCATTTTGGCATTAAATGATGAAATATTTCTACTGGTGTTGGGATGTGGAAATTCCATGTTTTGAATTCAGAAAATCAAGATCACTGTTTTTTTTTTTTTTTTTTTTTTTTTGCGAAATTGTAAACAACACTTTTTTGGAAAGATGCATGAGTCTAAGATAGTTTCTTTTGTTTTTGGTTTGTTTTGTTTTATTTTTATTTTTTTGGTGTTTTTCTTTTTCTTTTCTTCTTTTTGTTTCTTAGTGTATATAATCTAATTATTGTTGACATATCTAGCTCTTATTGTTGTAACTTATACTATTATTATTTTTTATGGATTTGTAACTGAATGAGATTTTGATTATAATAGAAAATTTAAGGACCTGAGCCCCTTATCTCGAAAGCATCGTGCATTGCGACTGTGCGCAAGCGTCTCGATTCCAGAACTCACCCATACTCGTCCCATCTAATACATTGTAGCCTCTATGTGATATTGCTTTCGAGATACGGGGCCCTGGTGTTATATGTATGTAGCAGTTTACTTTCAGGCCATGTAGTGAATGTAAGACATGTATTAAAATTTTGTCTTTTATAGTTTTGAAAGCATTCACAGAAAGGCAATCCATAAACAAATAAGAGTTCCATAAACCACACACACATGTGCGTGCACACACACACAGAAAAAAAAAGAAAAAAACATTGGTAATCCAAAAACCAAACTTTTTTGTTGTTGATTTCCTGATATGTCATGGAGGGAGTGACTAGATGGTTTCACTTGTGATGGTAGAATTTAAAAAATTAGATATTAAAAATGGATTTCAGTATTGTGAATTATGGAAATGTACAGCCAATTTATTATTTATTAATTCAGTATTGTTATTTTTATATAATGGTCTAACAGACATTGTATGCCTTTATTTATGGCATAAGATTATGTAGTACCCTTTTGGCCAGACCTATGCACAGATGAATATACTGATGGAAGGACTGATTGCTGAATTAAGGTGGATGATTTGTTTCCTGAATTTTATCTATAAACTGAACCTGTAAACCATCAATGGAAGAAAATAAAATTTATTTAAGAAATGGTCCATATTAAATTGGTAACCAAGTCTGATAAATTTAATTCCAGTTTTTGAAGACCTCCCAATGACCCAACTAGTCCCTGGAGATGTGATTGTGATCCCCAAACATGGCTGTACAATGTCATGTGATGCTGTCCTGCTTGTTGGGAACTGTATTGTCAATGAGAGCATGTTGACTGGTAAGGAACTAAAAAGATAGTTTTGACAGTTGGTAGAGGTACAGTGTACCTCATTTCTGCACACAATGCCAATGCATTTGCTAAGAGTTCTCTCAGTTTTTGATCCCCATGTTGTAGTCATTTCTTTTACAAATGGTACGTAACAACAATACCAGGCATGAACAGAATTGCTTTGATGTTGCCTTAGTAGGACCTGTCTTTCATAAAACTATCACTTAGCTGTTCTGTTTCTGTTATTTAATGTAAAGAAACCATTTTAAATGGAAGTTAGTAATCACTAAAGTCTACCCATTTCATGTTTCACAAACTAAGAGTGAACCAAAGCTGCTCATTTCCCGTTTTTATAATTTATATATTAAAAAAAATTTATTTTGCCTTATGAAGGTGAGAGTGTCCCAGTGACCAAGACTCCCCTTCCAAACCAGCCTGACTCAGATGAAGTGTTCTCTCCTGATGATGTCCACAAGAGATACACCCTTTTCTGTGGCACCCAGGTCATCCAGACCAGATACTATGGGGCAGGAAAAGTTACCGCTGTGGTGGTCAGAACAGGTAAGGGAGTGACCATACCCATTTTCTAGTCATGCAGCTAAAAATTGCTGAGTTTGATAAATATTGAGACACACAGGAGCCAACAAAATAATTGAAAAATTGTAAAGGTATAAGTTGGGAGTGCAGTGGTTGTGGACTGTGTATTGATTAAACTTCAAAAACACTGGCTGTCAAGTGAAATATTTTTGTCCTTTTATCAACTCCCTCACTTTAAATATTTTCCAATGGTATAATTATACTTCTGGTGTATATTTTTAAATTTTGATTTCAGTTATGTAATATTTTTGCTATTTTCAAAATTTTTTTTCTGTAGGGTATTCAACCTCAAAAGGTAGACTAGTCCGTGCCATTCTCTATCCCAAACAAATGGATTTCAAGTTTTACACTGATGCTATCCGCTTTGTCCAAATCCTCTTTTTGATTGCCTTATGTGGTATGGCTTACAACCTGTATGTGTTCATTAAAAGAGGGGTAAGTTTCTTAACTGACAAGAAATAGACATGTACTTTTGCATCATGACCTGAAATTACATACGTATGAATCTTATGTTTTTCCTTGTCTTACATCGTTGTTACATGTTTATGGGAAGTTTGTCCATTGAATGATAATAATATCAGTTATGAATTTTCATATTTATCTTACATATCATTAATTGTTAATATAAATACATATCATTATTCATATATAGTTTTGTTTTGTTTTTTTCAATTTTCTCTCAAACCAGGAATCTGTCAGGAGAATTATATTACGTACTCTAGACATCATTACTATAGTTGTGCCCGTGGCTTTACCAGCCGCCATGACAGTGGGCACAATATATGCCCAGAATCGCCTCAAGAAGGAAGGCATATTTTGTATCAGTCCACCAAGGATTAACATGTGTGGAAAATTAAACAGCATTTGCTTTGACAAGGTAGATCTTTTTTTTTATTTGACTATCAGATGATAAATTTAATTTTTTTACAGCTTGCTCCATTTTTTGTATGTCCAAAATTGAACTGATCACCCTTCATGAAGTTCAAAATAGCATGAGAATGGATATATGTAATAAAGGCCATGCACTTGCCATGCTTTGTCATTTTTATCATCTTTGATAAAGTTGACATTTTGACGGTAATTTGTGGTCATTTCAGACAGGCACATTAACTGAAGATGGTTTGGACCTTTATGGTGTAGTTCCTGTACAGGAGGATAGGTAAAAACTAGGATATCAGTGAAATATTTTGAAATCTGAGAAACTAGAAACTTTGGCAGATTTTTATTTGTTATTTATTTTGCCTGTCTTCAGTGGATTTTTAAACTGCACAGCAATTAACAAAACAAGTGTCATAAGTGCCAAACATTCAGAAAATTTAACTTACCCCCAAACCCAATACAGAGGTGCATTTTACATGCTGAAGTATCAAAAAATAAAATGAAATGAATACAGAATTGTACTCAATATTTTTAAAACGTGTATAGAACAATTTCCATGGCTGTCTCAATTTTACATTTACATTTAATTTTTACCATGTCTGCACATTATGTAAGGAGCCTAAATGGTAACATATGTTCCAGTAATGTATGTTCAGGGCCATGTAATTTAAATTTTATATCACTTTCCAGTATAATTTGTAGTGATGGGGAACATCTGTTACGTAGTATTAGCCATGGCGCAATGATGTAAGGATGTTTTTATAAATATCTAAACTAACGCAAGGGTTCTTGTGCCATGGCTAATACTACGTAACATATGCTCCCCAGAAACATTGTCAGAAAGATTCAAGTACTTGGTGCAATGGGAAGCAGGATTTTCTGTTGCTGACTGAAAAATATATTGTGATTCCATAAAAGTTTGACTTTTCTGATATAATATTTGGATCAGTAATGCACAGTAGTTTATTTAATGCTTATTTATCATCAGTAGGGTGTATTTTCCCCTTTTTATAATATTCAGTGACAAGCAAACTAAAGTCACTAAAAAAAATTAATTGATCTATACAGATGATTAAATTTTCAAAGTGTAAACATCTCCACAGCTGGACATTTTCCATTTATAACAGTAACCTATGTTCCTTTTTTTGGGTTATAATTGGGAATTATCATTTATTTATTATTATTTATTATTCATGGTTCCAGAAGAGAGAAATTTTGATACAAACTTCTTTATGTGGGACCCTTAAATAATCAAACATAGTTTGTATTCTGTGCACTAAATATTTTTAAGAGCATGTTTGTGACCTCATTTACACCTCTATATTGGGTTTAGGTGTAAAGTGACACCTTTCTTTAAAAGCAATAATACACTGTAATCGATTGATTGAAATAACAATAATTCCAGGTTTTTGCATGTAGTCCAGCATCCCACAGACCTGCCCACTGGTCCATTTCTGGCTGCCATGGCAACCTGTCACTCACTCACCATGATAGAAGGAGAACTGAAAGGAGATCCACTTGACTTGAAGATGTTTGAGTCTACAAACTGGGTAAATGATGTTTATTGTACCACCAGCGCGGCGCGGGCGGTACATATGGTTTTAGTCCTGACCCATCTCATTTGTGAATCTGTTAATTTGAACCATGATTTTAAATAAATTATTTCAGGGATGTTACAAAATCTTTGGAGTCAAAACTTTTGTTGTGTGTCAGACAAAGTAATATAACATAAATGTCCATGGTTGATTATTGATGTATCAAATGCTTAAGTTTGGTATCCTTTCTTTTATCTTCATGGTAAATGTTAACCTTTTTTCTTATTTTGCAGCTATTAGAAGAACCAGGACAAGACACCAGTAGATTTGACATGATGGTGCCTACCATTGTAAAACCCTGCAATAAAGAGACTTATTTCTCTGCTTATGACCAGAAAATGGTAAAAAGGTTATTTAAGGGTTATATGTATTGATAATTAATTCAATAATTTGATGGTAAAGAAGAGCTCCTGATATGACTTGATTTTTATTGTAAGTTCTCGTGGCTAAATGCAGCACGTGTTACGTACATTACCTTCATTTTCATTGTCTTGATTTTCAAGATTATTAAAAACCTTCTGTTTCCAGCTGCCATATGAAATTGGTATTGTGCGTCAGTTTGTATTTACCTCAGACCTGCAGCGTATGAGTGTGATCACCAGAACTTTGGGAAGTTCCCACATGGACCTGTATTGCAAAGGGTCACCAGAGAAAGTAGCGCACCTCTGCAATGTAGAGTCATGTAAGCTTTATTTATTTATTTAAAATCACTGGGTCTGACTTCAGGTTTGCTGAATTTATTTATTTATTTAGGTACATTTTTATGCTGACCTTGACATAATGATATATTTTGATCATCATCTAAAAAAGATAATTCATTAGATTTTATCTTTTTCATTTTATTTTCACATCTATTCATTGTCTCAAAAGTCTAATAAAAACTTATGGAAATCAATTAAAATTACTCGCTCTGTATAGCATCTCATTATAAATATCAGGCCAATAGAATGATTGCCAGGAAGGAAAAACCAGGCAATTGTCCGAAAATGCAAGGAGTTTTCCAATGCCAAATACATCATGCTTTTTTCTAGTGCCTTGTGATTTCCATTATGTTTTACAACGTTATACTATGAAAGGATTCCGTGTGATAGCGGTTGCCTGGAAGCCACTGAACCCTGCCTTGACCTGGCATCGTGCTTCAAGAATACAAAGGTACCTCATCGTTTCTAGAAACAGCTGTGTGGCATGTTAAATAGTTGGTTGAGGAAATTTAAACATTTTTTAAAGATAATACCACATGTTAAATCTGGAGTAATGGAGTTAAACAGCATTCAAACCTTTTTCATGAAATATATTCAGTTGGTATGTATTTTATAGAATTTATTGCCAATATCTTGATAATTATATACATATGCATATACTTATAGGGAAACTGTAGAGTGTGAGCTGACATTCCTAGGTCTGATAATTATGCAGAACAGTTTAAAACCAGAGACTACTCCTGTAATAAGACAACTGAAGGCAGCTAACATAAGGGTTGTGATGGTCACAGGTATTTGAATGCTTCATGCTTTTCTTTTATTATCACTTAGCATGAAAATGCAGTTTTAACGCAGGAAATTCTCACACATTTTAAATACTTCCCCCCCCCCCCCCAACCACCACCACCACCACCACCTTTTTATCCTCTTTTATTCCCCAGTATAGAATTTAAGTCAGTGGAACCCTTAAAATAAAAGTTTATCGAAAGTGCACCTAATTGTTATTATATAATTCATAACTATCTTGTCAGTGCATTTTACACCATATCACCTCGCAACTTCTTCCAAAAAATGAACAAATTGAGCGAATTGATTTAGGAGTAGGAGAAAGTAGCTTCCC